TATGTAGGTGCATAAATGTAGCGCTGCGTTCACTCAATCCTTTAAACCCATTCCAGGCAGTTATTAGGTTTGCAATATTGGGTATACATTTTAAAGAGAGATCGTTAGAGGTTCAGTTGAAGGAGGATACTCTCTTGTTAGTACTTGAGCTTAAGCATTTTGATTAAATAATTTAACTGAGTGGAAACCATGAGTGCACATTAATTGTTACATCTCACAAGTCCTTTAAAATCTGAATATTGTGGAGTCTGTCTTCTGTTATGTTGTTGTCACCGGAGGCACACTTTTTATTTGCTTTTCTGAGATGTGCATGCTGCGCTGTCCTATAGGTGTTCCAAAGTAATTTGTCTACAAGGTTGGAAGTATTCTTGTCATTCTGTTTCCACAAGATGCTTATTTCTGTTCTCTTTTTTATATAATGATTTTTTCTATTGATTTGTATATGAGTTACTGTACCTTGTTTCAACTGATTGGTGTGTGTGCTTATTTGGGGCTTCAAATAAACAACACCTACTTACTGTTTAATAGACCTCAGCCCTATTTTTATCACCAGCAAAATCCAAGGAACACACATTTTTTTCTTTTGTAAATCTAAAGCCTGACTGCATTACTTTTTTCCATCTGGTTTTCTTTAGATATATACACTTGTATCTCATTCACAGTTTTATTGGGCAAATTGACTTTCTAAATGTGAACCCAACAGCACATAGACATGTGTTTAAAGGTCCCCTATTATACTGTTTTTCATCAATATATTATATTTCTCAGATATATACAAAACATGTCTCCGAAGTGTTTTGCTCGAAATATCAAACAGACCATTGTAGCATCCCATAATCCCCTCTGTTTCAGCCCTGTTTCAAAAGTGCTGATTCTCTGTCAGTTACTTTAGATGAAAATAAGGTGCCACTCCTAACGCCTAAGATGATTGGTTAAAAAAACCACAATGATGCTCAAGGAGCAGATTCAGGTGATAAGGTGTGTGTGTGTGTGTGTGTGTGTGTGTGTGTGTGTGTGTGTGTGTGTGTGTGTGTGTGGGTGTGGGGGGGGTTACCTTGGTTGGTGATTGGCTAATGGTTACCAGTGTTGGGACTAACGCGTTACTTTAACGCAACTACTTTTTGCGGTAACTAATAGCGTTACTAGTTACCTATTCCCATTAAGTAACGCCGTTATAGTTACTGTTATTTAATGGGTGCGTTACTGCGTTACATTATGTGATGGAACTGAACCGAATCTCCCTGCGGATGTAATTTACAGGCGAATACAGCGATGTCCTCTCACAGCACCTTGGAAAAGTGAAAGTAACCAGAGAGGAGTGATGATTGGTTAACGCGGGGTAACATTTCAGGGTAAGCCAATCAGAGACAGAGTTGGGCGGGTCTTGCCTTATGGGGAAAATACACACACACAAACACTTGCTAATGCTAACACAACACACACACACACACACACACGGCAACGCTCACCACCAGCACACACACACACAATGGCAGATGCAAGTATCAGCGAGAGCAGCAGCGCATTTGCAACTTGGAAATATAACCACTATTTTCAATTTGTGGGGATAAAGGACGCAGAAAATATTACGGTAAAATGTAAACTGTGCAGGACAGAAAGCATTGCCCATATCGAAAAACAGCAATGCCAATCTCCTGAAGCACCTAAGTAATGTACATTGGGCTATAAAACTAGTCGCCAAAGACCCCACCGCCTCAACCACCGGCAGNCACCACATGCTTTGAAAATTCAGGAAGTCAGTAGTTAAAGGTGGGCTAGGCAATTTTGGGGAAACAAGCTCAAGTGCGCTAGAATTTGAAAATACACAACCGGAGTTGTGTATTTTCAAATTCTAGCGCACTTGAGCTTGTTTCCCCAAAATTGCCTAGCCCACCTTTAACTACTGACTTCCTGAATTTTCAAAGCATGTGGTGCATTTTTGTTTAACACATGTCTTCTTCCAGGCAGCCACTGGTTTTAAGTTGATATGGTGTGTATATATATATCGTATCGATTTAAAAATGGACTCGCAGATCTGAAATATTAGAGATTTTTATATGTTTTTACCTAAAACACACTTGTTTGGTTCTGTAAAGATATACCGAACAGGTCTGAAGGGCTCTAACTTCCTTGTAATTTTCTGTTTTTTTCCTTCAGCTGGACACCAGTAGATTAACAATGAGCTGTTTTGAGCCCATTGTGCTTATCTACGACCATCATGAACACAAGTGGAAAAGCAGAGAAGTAACTTAGTGAGTGTCTCTCTGTTTACATTTGTTTGAATGAAACTGTAGTGTTTATGCATCCTTAACCACAGCTTCTGGCATTCAGGCTCTACTGTGTTATCTCACTAAATAGCAAACATGTACATTGTCTAGAAATGTTTAGGGTGTTAATTGCCTAAATGATGATTTTGTCTTCCAGTGACTGTTTTGAGGACTGGAACGAAGCACAGAAGATCACGTCTTCTCTGTTGGAGGGCAGATCCTACGAGAACTTGATTGACTTTGACAATCACTTGGATGATCTGAGGAACGACTGGACCAACCCTGTGATCAACAAGGCTGTCCTGGATCTGTGCTAAGAGAATCAGTCCGCAGCACCTTGGACATGCAGACAAATATTGCTGCCGTTACAGCATGCATGATGCTACCTATTGTGTAGCGCAGGAGTACAAAAATGCTGGAAACATGGTCTTTGTTCCATTAAAAGCCCCTCGTACTGAGAGGACCTTGCAGAGCACTGACCGGTACGGCCCAAATCTCTCAAGGCCAAGCGCCATATGTGCACTGTTGGCCTGCGTCCACATTCACAAGGTGATACCGTTGTGATGAAGGCCATTTTGTTTTTTTCTGCAATGGTTTGTGTTTATTCATAGTTGTGTGCAAGTTAAATTCTAAATTATTTGATACATTTTTCTTCTTAAATTGTAAAACCAATAGCCATATAGAGATCAAGTCTTAAATTATTAAAACATTATTAGTAAAAATGTAAGGAGATGATTGTACTACTGAGATATGATAGATGCTGTGTTATTAAATGTTTAGTTTATTTTTAACCCTGGAACTTCATTCACACAGAAATATGGTCTGAAGAAGTTTGGGGTTGTTTATTTAAGATGATTAATAAATAAATGAATATAAAGATGAACTGAAAAGACAGGATTTAAAAAAGTGATGTCTTTTCTGACTGTGTGTCTATTACCAACTTGAGTCATTCTCTGGATCCACCAGCAATATTAATGTGATGATTAACTCCAAAGGTTTGACTTTTAAATTATTCAATCTTCCACAAATACTTTCTGTGTCCTTTTCTTGTCGCTGGTGCTCTTCAGAATGTCATTCTGGATAGTGCACACATTGGATTTGGATTGTTTTCAGAAATGCAATAGGCTGGATCAGATCACAGGATTGTGTGAATGATGTTTTAGGTTGGGTATCAGTTGTAAGAATTGCATAATAGTCTTTAATACTTAACTGCCCCCTCTAAATTGTAATATATAGTAAGTAATGTAACATTTGAATACTTAATTTGAAGATATAGAACTACCTTTGTATTTGAGATAATAATTATTTAGTAAGTGCTCATAACTTAAATTATTGTGTGGATGACACATTTTCTACAATGTTTTATGAACCGAATGTAAAATTAAACAACATTTGGGAACCAAATCTTTGTCAGACTCATGTCATTTAGTAGATTATTGTCCGAGGTGTTTTTTACTGTTGCCTTTTGACTGTAAGGTTGATAAACATATTTTTTAAATCACCAGCTCCAGGGCTCTAGCTTTTTGCTAAAAGGAACTTAAGGATTTTATAAATTGCTTCAAAAAAGCATTTGGTGAGGAGTATGTTATCTGCTCAAAACCTGTATAATAAATGATTTTGTGTAGGAGGGGGTTCATTTTATTAAGGATGTGATTTTGACACTCCCTAACTGCCTATCATTTGTTAGAATTTATAAAACAAAAAATGCACCATTAGAAGTATATTTAGAAACAACTCTTCTCTGCATGGCTCCACCTTGTGGAACAACCAAACCTTTACAAAGGTGTCAGATTCACATCAATAACACTAAGTGTCAGAACAATACTTATGGTAACATTGAACATGTATTTCTTTCATTATTGTTTACGATACAAATATAGTAAGCAACATTTTAACAATCAAAGATACTTATTACAAATCTAAAATAAAAATGTTCTCTGATGTCTAAGGAAGATACTGCATAAACTAATTATTCATGTGTTGAAGTAGGCTTATTTTTCTTAAGTGCAAAAATGAGATACAGTACATGTACTAATTTAAGAGTGGACATCACTTCCCTCCAAAGTTGATACATTTGAATGCTTCAGATTCAACTGAAGGATAAGGTGTATCTATGGTTTGAAAATATTATCCTGTTTTCTTTAACTAAATAAACTACTAATAATCCTGAGTAAAACGCGTCATCACAAAGTCGATTTGATAGAAACGTAGTTTTCAAAGGACAGTATTGCTATAAACATATGATCACCATCTACGGCTATACAATCATACAATGCAACATACACACTATTGCATCATTGTAACGTAGCCTAATATTAATCAAAAAACGTCTTATAACAGTACACCACTGACTTGTTTTGTCTTTTTTTTAAGCAGTGAGATTATTTACTTCTTACACCTTCCCAAGGTTTAAGGCCAACTGATAATATTTGTATGCAGGACTTTAAAATCCATTTAATGTGACTTTTCTAAAGGGAAATTGTGAAATCAGGGTAAATATTGCCATCTACTGGTGCTTATCTGTAACTGTCGTGGCTGGCACGTGATCAGCTTCTTACTTCCGGCGCAGATAACGTAAAAACTAAAGGAATGGTCAGTGTCGTCATTTCCAGCCGGGTATAATGCACCAACAAACAACCTTTATAAATACGTTTTTTTCTCAACATTATGATTTGCCAAATGCGGGGAATTACATAACAATAAATACAAGTGATTAAAGTTCAGTAACGGTACAACGTCCTCACTGTGCGACACGACGTCGCCGGTAGTGACGTAGCTGTCTCATCCTCCTTGTTTTTTTTAGACAGGCTGCAGCGCGGGAAAACAAGAAGAAGAGCAGATGTGAGGGTGAAAGAGTTTGGAAATACAAATTATCTTGCCAACCTGACAGCTATGGATGCCTCGGAGGTAGAGTTCCTCGCCGAGAAGGAGACGGTGAAGATTATTCCAAATTTCAGTTTAGACAAGATCTATTTGATCGGGGTAAGTAAGTGAATAACTTTGTCAATGCGTTGTTTACAAGGTTACAATGGACTGTTTTCTGTTGGGTTAGGGGTTAATTTAAAGAGTTTGAGTTTAGCCGGATACTGATAACTTGCATACCGTTAGTTACATGAACTCAATAGTTAAGGTTAGCATGTGTCAAACCTCTCAGTCTGATGTTGAATTGTCACACATTTGGGGATTCAGACCGGGTCGCTTCTCTGTTACGTGAAGCCCGTAACGTTAACTGTAATCTATGTGTGGCAAGCCGATTTAGCTTTTATTCATTTCTGGAGGGTCAAATCATTTTTTTGATATCAGGAATTCAATTGTTACTAGTTATAATTCATTTACTAGTTACAGTTGAATTCCTGATATCAAAAAAGGATTTTGATTTTGAAGTTCAAATTGTATTTCTGATATAAACAGTTGGCATTTAGACTAGTTGAAATGGAATTCTTCATATCAGAAATTGGTATTTTTACTAGTTTAATTGTAACTAGTAACAATTGAATTAATGATATCAGAAATTAGCATTTGAACTAGTTCAAATGCCAACTCCCATTGAAATGAATGAGAAAAACGATGCAAATCTCACTAGTTAAAATCGCATTTCTGATATCAGAAATACACATTACAACAAGTTACAATTTAATTTCTGATATCGGGAATTTGCATTAACTAGTTAAAATTCTATTTTTGGTATTAGAAATAAACATTATTACTAGTAAGAATTGTTTTTTGATATCCTCCAGAAATGAATAAAAGCGAAATTGACTTGCCATATCTATGCAACGCTACTGATTATATGATCAAAAGAATGGGAGTCAGTTTTCCTTCCTGTGTGTATCCTCAGGGCGACCTGGGTCCCTTCAACCCCGGACTGCCTGTCGATGTTCCCGTCTGGCTGGCCCTAAACTTGAAACAAAGACAGAAATGTAGAATTGTTCCTCCTGCGTGGATGGATGTTGGTAAGATATACAATGCATACCCATCTTTAATATATATATACTGTATGTACAAGCTGCAGGAATAACTGACCACTTCAAAATAGAAACAATGGAAAGGTGACTTAAATTCTGGGATCAAATGTACATAATGCACCAATTTGTCACAACTAATTACTTAAAGTAATCCTAACATTGAAATCCAAGGCTCCATCCATGTTCATCATTGTTGCATCAGTCCTTGTTATTTCCATTAATATGTGGAAATAAGAACTTTAACGCCTTTTTATAGTGTTCATCATAGGTTGGTGTGTTCTATCATTGTATTTCGGACAACAATGAAGGTCTAAAGAAGGAAAAAAAAATCAGGCTTTAGCTGTAAAAGATAACTAGTTTTAAACAATTCATTCATTAACTCAAGAAAAGTAAACTACATTTCAGTTCGCCTAACCTTTCCTATATGATTCAGTTGCTGAAAATACTGGAAATAGGACGGCACTTCTTCATATTTTGACATTTATACTGATTTCTTCCATCTGACAGTTCGGCACATACAATGACTGTTTTTGACCTTCCTGATATTGTGCAGATAAACTGGAGGAGATGCGAGATCTTGAGAGGAAAGAGGACACCTTTACGCCTGTTCCCAGTCCGTACTACATGGAGCTGACCAAACTGCTTCTGAACTTGTGAGTCTTTTTATAATAATCCCCATTCTTATGGTATTTAAACTAACGTGCTTTACAAGCTCCCTTATTGTCTGTGTATGTGGCACTCTATGCCTTACATGAAGGTTTATGTGTCTCTGCAGTGCGTCTGACAACATCCCTAAAGCGGATGAGATCCGCACGCTGGTCAAAGACATCTGGGACACGCGTATTGCCAAACTCCGCCTCTCCGCCGACAGCTTCATCAGTCAGCTGGAGGCGCATGCCAAGGTACATCATGAAGAGTCTCACGCTGAGCCTTCTGTTTACACAAACTGTTAATATGATATTGTAAAGCTGAAACAAAATATCAAACAATTGATAAAAACATTTGGACGGAAAGTTATTTTATATTATGAGTAATTAACAAAAATAAACATGAAATTGTAACATGGCTACGCATTTACAATCTCATTTGAATGGCCACTGTAGGATGTGTTGAATTCAAGAATATTGTGAGCAGTGGAATTATGTTTCTGCTCTAAAGGGCATCTTTAAGTAGTGAAAATCTGTGAACATTCATTAGGGAATGCGAACCTTGGAGTGCTGTAATTGTTTCTTAATAACAGGATTAACAGTCAGTGTCTTGAGATGATCTTTTTATCCCCTCATCTTGTGGCCCTACTGCTTCCCTTTTCCCTGCCATAGTAAGATCCAGCAAATATGAGCTTAAGGATTCACAGCAGTTATTAAAGAAAGAATATTATTTACGCTTGTTAAAAGCATGTGTCCTTTGTAACTCTGGCCCCTCCCCTCTACAGCTGGACAACCTGACTCTGATGGAGATCAACACCATACGCGCCTTCCTGCTCGACTCTCTCAACTGCTTGTACAAGCTTCGCTCCAATCAGCACCCTGGGTCCAGTAAGGGACAGTTCGCTGACTTTTAAACTCAGAATTCAAAGCCTGCTGCACAGGTTGTCCCCTGATCTCAAGTCTTCAACTACAGATTGTTCTTTCTCACCCGGCCCTTCATTACGCTAAAGACTCTTTTTCTCAGAAATGTAATTCAAAGATATCTATCAATGACCTCTTGATGGCAACTGAATTGGACTTGCTTTTATTTGTTGTGTGAGACGAGCATTACTCTGTACAAATGAAAAGCATCTAGGCTTTATATGTATCTTCTGTTTGAATTATGTGCATATTTAATTTAATTAAGGATGCTCGCTGTAGTTTAAAACTGCCACCATTGTTGTTAATGTCAAAATAAATGTATTTGTGTAGAGTTCTAGGGTATAGCATTTTATTCCTGGACTAAAACAGATATTTGAAGAAGTCAGTCTACAGAAATGTTTCACTTTTTTGGTCATGTTGTATAGAAATTAAATGAACGTTACTAGATGCTCTTGTTTGTCGGAGAAGAACAAAATAAATGGCTACTTAGTAGTGTAGGATTTAAGTTGAACATAAAGGGAATTTGTCCTTTACCCTAAGTGAAGTGCAACAAAAGAATCATTTCTAAAATCTAAAATAGATGTTTTGTGGGATGGAAGGAAGCCGATAGATTCAACACTGTTTCATTCCAAAGCCATTGACATGTGTAGCACCCACAAATGGACAAGGGTTGATATTTAACATTTTAGAAATATTTTATTTCTTTTTTGTCTGAAATCACAGCCATATATTCATAAATACCTAATTACTACATTCAACAAAGAATATATTACATTACAATGAATTCAAACAAGTACATTTTAAAAACAGGATTTCACAGCATCTAGACATCCTCCACTGAGTAATGGGGCTATTGCATGGGCGTGCGTGGGCTGGAGACAGGGAGGCGGGGGGGTGGGGGTCGTTGGCAGCTCTCCTCAGCGTGCCTCTTCTGCTCTGTAAAAATGACAGACTACGTTCTGTATCAACCTGATCCCCTCGAATGGCATGGGCCTCATTTATAAAAGGTGTCATGATTGAATTCTCGGAGATGCGTTAAGATTCTGTGTTTGTTCTTGGCATGCACATATTGGAAAGGTGTGAGACGTACAGTAGACACTTCAATGTAATCTCGATCTCTGGTGTTATGGGTAGAATTAACATCATGTGGACTGCAACTCATTCACATGCTCCCAACTTCTTGAGGCACTTGTATTTAATATGCTGTATGTAGGGGTGGCTGTGCTTTTGTCTTTATAAATTAGTTATTTTGCACATTTGAAAAAGTGAATCAAGATTTACTTTGAAGTATTGAATGCCCCCATTCTGACACCAACTTTCCCACCACAATAGCTTGTGCAGCGTTTTAAATTCAAAACAATGATCAATGCCACTTTTAATTGGAGGAAGTCAGGAAAACGTTTGGCTGAATCCGGGGATGAACTGTGGGCAGGTTGTACATGGGGACGGCTAAATACACCTTTATATTTTATCAAGTTTTATTCTAGTGTGATTTCAAGGCTTTTTTTAAAATGTGTTGGCAACTGCAGAGGAAGATGGCCATTCTGTTTTGAACGTTTGGCTACCTTATTGAAACTCAAATACAAATGAACAATCCAAAATGATTCAGTTTATTTAATTTTGGCACCATGTCCTCTCATGGCTGCTGATAAGGGCTTGTAAGGCAAAACATTATGCAAACCGTGATATTGTTGGAGTCTAATGCAATATAATGTCAGAGTGTGGAGTGAAAGGTCCAACGGTAGGATAAAGCAATAATAACCAGTTTCATCAGCTGGCTGCTTAAGAGACTCTTCATGTCTTTACAAAATCAAGTATGTCAAGTGACCAAAGTCAAAAAAGAAAAACTGTCGCTGTGGGTTTCATCTGGTTTCAGTATGAGAACATCATTAGCTAACTAGTCCTGCCAGCAGCAGTGACGCTGAGCAGAGGAGTGGATGCTGGGTGACATGTTACTGTGAAGGGAGGGGTGAGAAGGTGGGTGCCATTTCTCAAGACCTCAGTGAGCTCTGCTGAGCTCGGACGCTGTGGTTGGGTGAGGAGAGTGAGAGGAGGAATATATCCTGTTCTCTCTCTCACTGTTAAATGTCTCAAAATGAGCTGTTCTGGCCAGCAGCAGTACAAACACTAAAAGCAAGGCTTTCTTTTCCAACCCAAAAAAGCATAAACATATAAAAATGGCAGGCTTTTTTTCTTTAAAAGAACAATGATTAAAGTAATAAAAACATACAAAATTCTTTTAAGTCTTCATATTATATACAATACAAGGCTGAAGCACCTTTTAGAATTCTTATTCTCAAATTTTCTATTTTGAAATAAAACATTTCCTTAATTCTTTCCAAAAAATGTGCATTCTCTAAGTTCTTCCCTAATTCCAACAGTTCTTTGTTGTAACACAGTACCACCAGGTAGTTCTTCAGCTTTTATTCTTAAGTGCATTTCCAGTTCAAAAGCTCATGTGGCCACTGTGATAAGATCAGTCCCGACTGGCCAGAAGCCTTCGAAGCGTTCGAGTCTCTGGACGACACCCCCCCTGGGGCCGCGGCCCCTCATTGGCAGGATTGTCTGTGTAGCTGTGGCGGGAGGGATGCAGGGACTTAACAATAGAGCAGCAGGGGGCTGAAGAGTGACAAGCAGGTGCATTATGGGTGATCTTCAGGTGCTCCTGGCCCATGCTCTCTGGGTTGGCTACATTGGCACACGGTAGTGGCACAGTCCCTGGCCACCGTCCTTCACTGTCCTGTCTGCTGTGCGTTCATCCACCACTCATCCATTCACTCAATTCATTCATTCATCTTATCCAGCCAGTCTTATTCTCCTCCTTGGAACCATGTGGATCAGGCCATGAAAAATAAACTCTGGGTATCAGTCTGAAGGGGGATGGCGGGGGGCCATCAGGGCGGCGGGTCGGGGTCACCTGGGAGGGTAGCCCTTGTAATGGCCGCCTCTCGGCCAGTGTGTCTGTGGCAGCGTCAAACACTTCCTGAAGTGCTCCAGCTCGGCTTGGAGCTTCTCCCTTTCCACTGCCAGCTTCTGCCTCTGGGACATCAGCTCCTACAAGACGGAAGATGTAAATATATATTTAAGTTTAAAGAATAATCACAACAAAGAGGATGTGTTTTCAGCTCCATGCTAATAATACAAAGGTGGTCAAAATAAAGGAGGAATCACAATGTGAGAATACTGTGCTGTCAATTATTATCAAAGAAGTATGTGTGGAGAAGGGAACTGTTAAGAGGTGTTTGCAATGTGTGCTACTAGGCACTCTAGTGTTCTGTGCATGCTTCTTACCCCCATGTTATGAGATAGCTGCTCAGCGGTCAGGCTGAGGTTGTAGTTCTGAGCTTCTAGTCTTCGACACTGGCTCTGCAACACGTGTCGCTCCAAACCTTGCTCTAGAGAACCAGCGAGAGTGAGAGACAGAGGGTTAGGGGAACAACCTGATATTTACAAACAACTGAATTCTAGAGGAAGCATGAATACTGCCCTCTAGTGACAAATGAACACAATTGTTTAAAAAAACTATTTTCTAGGAATACAGTATATGGTGACACTAAACTATGAAACAGCCAATGAGATATGAATGGCTTTTTCAGAGGGAGGGGTTATGTATCCGTCATATAATAGAAAATACATCAAATCAACAGTTATGAGATTTGAAGCAGTACAGTATATCACAGCATGTTTTAACTGCAGCTGCTTACCTTCAACATATTCCTGATAAGCTTCAAATATGGACTCAATCCCCTGCCACTTGGAAACGGGAGCCTCCTCTTCCTCCTCCTCCTGGTCCTCCTCAGAGTCCTCTGGACCCGACAGGTCCTCCCTCGCCCCCGAGGCCTCCCGGTGGAGGCCTGCAGAGAAGTGCTGCCCGTTGGGCTGAGGGTGAGCGTGTGAGAGCGGGTGGGGAAATGGATGTGCGTTGGAGTGAGATTGTGAATGCTGCGGCGGCCGTCCAGGAGCGCTCTGAAGCTCCGGAATGTTGTAGTGGACCGAGGACTCCTGCAGGTGGGACGACTCCGACATCCCCGCGGCTCCACCTGAAGAACAAGATGGGAGAGAAGGGAGATCGTGTTTTATCACTTTGCATTTATTGCAATAATGGTAACATGACTCATCTAGGGATTTCGATTTGGTGCAAAATGCCGCAGCAAGGCTTTTAACTGGTTCACGGAAATATGATCACATTTCCCCCATTTTGGCTTCGCTCCACTGGCTGCCAATACATTTTACAATTCATTTCAAAATCCTTTTATTTACTTTTAAATCCCTAAATGGCATGACCCCACCATATCTTTCTGAGCTGCTACACCCTTACACGCCCACCCGCCCTCTAAGGTCAGCTGATCAACTGCTCCTGAACGTGCCCAGAAGGGGGCCATTGCTTCTCTGTGGCGGCTCCCACACTGTGGAACGATCTGCCCCTGCATATCAGACAGGCCTCCACACTGCCTGCTTTTAAATCGCTTCTTAAAACCCACCTCTATTAACATCTTTCAGAGCGTTGCTTTTATTGCTTTTAAATTGTCTATCCTTTTTAAATTGTACTTCTTTTATGGTGTGTGAGCTGTGCTGTGTAATCTTTTTGTATGTTTTGTTTTGTTTATTTGACTGTACAGCACTTTGGTCTGGAGGTTTAAAGTGCTCTATAAATAAAGCTGTATTGTATTAGATCCTAATTTTTCCGTGCATATGATTTCTATGAATTCATATATTAAGTTTGGAATGCCGGAAGAATGACTTAATGGCCAAAGTGCCAATCCAAACCCAAAATATCAGTTTACTACCACAGAAGCCCATAAACCAATCATTTCAGCTAAAGATAATACGATTGTCACAGCAGCAGGTTAACAAGGCATTGCACATGTGAGAGGGAAAAGTTATATACAAGTTTATTTTTCATGCAAAAATATACTTATATACACTAAAAGTGTCTATTTGCCGATTTGTATGTCAGCGCTGTTGGTTGGATAATGCATCATTGAAAGATATCACCACATGGGTTCTGAGAATTTGTAACCGCCATTTTTCAAAGATAGATTTCCAGATAATTACTTAGTAAATTATTAATTGACCAAATAAAAGCTTTGTGGCAGACCTGTAACATCCTGTATCTCAGTGTTATTAATGGAAAGTTGTTTGTCTTGTCACTACACTGTCCTGTTGCCCATTGGCCCCCCCGCAGAGAGACCCCTCCCATTGACCCGTTCTGCTTACCTTTATGTTTCTGCAGAGCCTTCTGAGTGGACTGAAGCACAGATTCGTGGAACTGCTGGGCAAATTCCTCCGGGGTGAAGCTGTCCCAGGGTTTAGTGCGCCCGTTGACGCTGTGAGGACCCTCTTTAGCCTGCAGGGGAAGGGGGGGGCGCAAGCTGTTCAGCAGGCTGGAGCTCCTCTTAGAGACCGGCCCCTCACCGGGCCCCCGGGCCTTGTCAGGGTAGACAGCTGGAGAAGGGGGTTCCTTTGGTCTTAATGTCTCCCCAAGGGGTTTTGGGTGACCATTGGGGGACGCTGGGCGATATGAGGAGGGGCTCTGCGGTCTGACACTGTGTTGGCCTTCTGATTCAGAGGGAGGCTGGGCGAGTGCAGAATCTGCAATCATTTGAACATGTGTTAGTCATGATGAGGTCAAGATCCACATTACTACAGATGGAGCACTGCAATTAGCAACACATCTCACCAGAAATCTGGGGTGGAGGGCTCTTACACAGCAGACGAGGGGCATGTCTAATGGTATCCAAGGTTACGCTCTTTTCTTTAATGACCTGAAGGAGCTCCACCACCCTTTCATTATCGATGAGACAGAGGAACTAGTTCATAAGTCACGTCTGTATATATCTTAGACAAAGACCCATTTCTCCTAACGTGTGTGTGTGTGTGTGTGTGTGTGTGTGTGTGTGTGTGTGTGTGTGTGTGTGTGTGTGTGTGTGTGTGTGTGTGTGTGTGTGTTACATGAGGCTGAATGTGGCCTAACAGCATGGGAGGCAGTGCGCTGCCATCTGAAGGCTGCAAACTGTAAATCAAAAGGATTACACTAAGATCACTGTAAGCCCACTGCTGCCACTATGTGTGTGTGTGTGTGTGTGTGTGTGTGTGTGTGTGTGTGTGTGTGTGTGTGTGTGTGTGTGTGTGTGTGTGTGTGTGTGTGTGTGTGTGTTTAACTGCAAGTGTCTCCCAACAGAGCCTTGACACAAGTCCACCTTTTCTAACTAGTGCAATATAAAGCCTTACATTATGCTTCAAAATATGCTGCAGGTAGTAACACAGGGGTTAGAGGTAGACATGATCATTGTTTGACCCCTTTATTATTTCCTTCAAGGCTCGAGTCCACATGCAGTATTCATGAGAACGCAGCGCATGTAAAGCAGGCAGAGCTCAGCTGAAGTGAAGCGTCAGCAAGCTGTCGATCCGACTGAGAGTAAAGACTACTTTTGAAAGAATTAACTCTGAAATGAGATGTCAAAGAGGAGAGACATGATACCAGCAATGGACGGGGATGTGTGTATAGCATTTAGGGGGCAATGGGTCACTTCTGTAAAGTAATGCAGTGGTTTCTAACTACCTCTCCTGTCCCTTGTAATTTGAAGTCCTTTCATTTAATTTGAAATTCTAACATTGAATCCAGTGCGTGAGTTTCCTGGGCACACACATTCTTAACTTAAACAATACCGGAACAGCAGTTTATTTAATTAAGAATAGCTAGGAGGCATCTTTACGCACAGTTAAGGCTTTCACTAATTAACGTAGTTCTTGAAACATAATTAAGCAAAACAGTTAGTAAGCAACACTAAAGACCCATATTAAGATTAACTGTTTAACAGAATCACCCATTGTGTCCACCCAGGTTTATTAGAGCAGCTTCAAACTTGACAAAATAAATAAAAAAGTGTGAAATGGAATATTTCTGTGTTTATAATCACAACTCCCTCACCTCTCCTCTGCTGCACAGTGACGTGGGACAGACTGAACGTGGTGAGGAATCGCTTCTTATCCTCCAGCTCTGGTGCTCGGTTCATGTCCTCCGGGGTGAAGCGTGTGCTGAGTTGGGGCGCCGGCGGAGGAGTGCGTTTCGGTTGCGAGCAAGATGGTGAGGGGCTGCGCTCCCTGAGCCTCCTCCTCCTTTTTCTCCTCTTCTGCTGCACCAGCTCATCGCGCCGGCCCACTGTGGTCAGGCCAAACACTCCCAGGAAGTCTAGTTTCTGTGCGGAGAGGCAAAAGAACATCTTAATGCATTGCTTTGTCATGAGTGCTTGTAATAACAACAGGAAGTGATTATTTGGCAGGTGTTTTACCTCTGAGGAGTCCTCCAGTTTGAGTGGCGGCTGCTCTGCTACTCTCCTAAGATGGGCTCTCACCTCCTCTTCATCACTCTCGTCATACGAGTCATCCAGCTCGTAGTAGTAACCTGCAACAAGCAAAGAGTTCAGTACTGACAAACCACTTGCTCTAATAAAGTTAAGCGTTACACAAAACAAAATGTAGCTTTCTAAGAGTGCAAATGATCAGGTGTAGTGCAACAGCATGGTGGTACCTTTCTCCCTGGCCTCCTTTCTCCTCTTCTCCTCCAGGTCTAACTTGCTGACAGGCCTCCGGTGCTGCTGGAGGTATTCGTCATAGATCAGCATTGTCTCTGGGCCCGTCCCCACATTGGCTACCTGTCCCATGCCTGTCCCGGGGGGGATTCCTAGCCCTTGTCCATGTCTGCTGTGCCCCGGGTGTCCCTGGAGGCTCTTCAGTCCAGCATTGCTCTTCATGCCTCCCTCCATTTCATATTGGCTGGGCAGGGACAGGGTTGCCCTCTGCTGGCTAAAAAAGGACTGGGTGGATTTCTCCAGATCAGCAAGGAATGTGCTGGGTTCCGGCAGGCCCGGAGGACCCCTCAGTGGGGGGTACTTCTCCATCACTCCCCCTTCTCTCCTTCGCGCTCCGTCCTCATATTTTGCGTGCCCGGGGGGAAGCCGACTGAGCTCGTAGTGTCCCATCCCTGAGGGCTCGTGGTTCCGTCTGGACTCTGAGGCGGTGTCTATAAGAGAGGCAGGGTTCCACAGGGTGGTGGGAGGGTGGTGTTCACGTGGTGGCTGGGGAGGTTTGGGGGAGATGAGGGGTGGAGGGGCGCCTAAGTGAGGGTGGAGGTCCCGGCTTCCTGGTTCATGGTGATTTGGTATGGATCTGTAGAGATACAAAAGAATCATGTAATCTGTTAAAAGTACTGCACAATGCCCGTATTCCAAACACCAGAGACACACCATAGTGCTAAAATGCTATGTCTATTCCCCTTCATCCCTGTTAGTATGTCTGAGGGGTTTAGTGCCTGTGCAAGGCAGAGTTATCAAGCTCAGACAGAGTAGCCCAGAGCATGTGGCCAAGGCACACAATGTCCAGGCTTCTTTTTGATCTGACACACACACACACACACACACACACACACACACACACACACACACACACACACACACACACACACAAGTAGTCATTGTTGATCCCATCATTAATTGTGTGCTGGGTTCATTCCGAGTGCACTGGGTAACTGGGAGGTTACAGGCAGGACAACTCAAGAGGTGTTGGGAATGTTATTCACCCTCTCATGCCTGACTTGCCACTGTGTGTNCACACACACACACACACACACACACACACACACACACACACACACACACACACACACACACACACACTTCAGAGTGACAACTGCTAAGGAAGAGGCCAGGACAAATAATTCTCCTGATAGAGAGGCAGGCAGAGAAGAGAATAATCAATGTGGAGAGTAGAGAGAACCATGAATTTGTAAAAAAGGAATAGTCAATGATATATGAAGAAATATAAATTTATATATTAAGGGAGATACTTGGGAAGAGATACTTGAAAAGGAATAATGGTATGGATGGTGGAGAAGAAATGGTCACTGCGAGAAAGAAAGGAAAGCAGATGGATGTCTCAAGAGTCTTTCCAAATCAAGCCTGGCAGGAACGCACTGTGCAGGACGCACTGTGCAGGACCAGCAAATGATCTAGGCCTCCCTGTTTGTGTTTGCATGTGTTTGCATGTGTGTGTGTATGTGTATGTATGTGTGTGTGTGTGTGTGTGTGTGTGTGTGTGTGTGTGTGTGTGTGTGTGTGTGTGTGT